TCAAACTGGGTTTAGGAAGCACTTTATTTATCAGAACTTAATTTGTCCAAGTTGCAACAAAATAGGAATGTCATACTTTCTACAACAAAGAATCAAATAATCCTAACCCAGCACACAAACTATGATTAACAGATCTTAAGGAAAAATATCAAAAGAAGCCAATAAAATAACTATGAGAGGAATGGGGTGGGAAAAATTCAAACAGTTATCTTAATAGACTAGATTATGTCACTGTCATTTTAAATCATTTTAGGATATATACACACACATTGTAATTTGTAAGAGAAGAATACATTTAATTTAAACTCACGCCCTTTTAAGAATATTTACACACCAAAGAGAGATTCAAACTGCTATGATACACTCATATTCTACATGAGCTGTGTGGTGGAGCTGTGTATTTTTTACTTATCTGTGACAAAAGTTGAGAGTATTAACTCAACAACATCAATTTTAACAAGGTTAACAAACAGGAAAAACAGCTTTTTCTATATATTATCTTCATGTCTACCACAGACAAAGTCTCAGAAACCCATTGAGAGAACTGAATCATGTGCCCAGTTTAACTTTACCAATGAGGATTAAACAAAATATTTAATTAGAAATATTTCTGGAGATAAATTTAAAAAGATTATCTGATATCTAATTTTTTTTTTAATTTAGTTTTTTTTTACGGTGGACTCAAATTATTTTCATGCTGTGGAGTTGATCATTTTCCGCTCTTCAGCAGATACCTGTCAAGTCAGAAAATGACAGAAATAAATATTGATTAAATACAGTGCAGTCACTCTGTTTTTACTTCATATTTTAACAGAGATCTTTTTGATTTAGTTACAGAAGATGTGTTAGAGTAATATCTGTTCTGAAAATATCTAATGCTGACTTTAATTAGTACCTAGAGAGCCTGCAGCAAAAAAAAAGTGATGCACAGGCACGAGACAACAACAAGAATTTCTTTAACACAGTGATGCATCAGGATCAAATGGTGAATCTGAATGTTTTATGTTGTTCTACATATTGTAGAGGACAGCACTTACACCCAGGTTTCAGGTTTTTACAGTGGAATGAAATACTACAACAATGCAACTGTCATTTTTTTCATTAGCTCATTAGGTAGTAGATTATCCACAGAGCTTTACCCTACTCCTACTAGTGTATATTTAGTACATCTGCCCTTGCTCTTTTAAAATATTTTTTTCTGAAAAACAAATTTGAGAAATCATGGTTTGTGCTGTATTTATGTGATGTTGAACTCACTTTCTTAGTGTCTGAACCATCAGATGATGAAGATGAAGTGTCTGAATCTAAAAATAAAATTAAAATGATATTTTAAGGAAAAACTGTGATTTCTGTCAAATTTCTCAAGTGATATCAAAATTCTTAAATGAAGCAACAATAATGAAAATATAAAAGAAATCAAATAACTGTAAAAGTATAAACTTTGATATTTAAAATACTTACTGTTTGCAGGTTTGAATCCTGAAAACAAGAAACAATATTAGTTATTTATTTAGAACTTATTGAAGGACACAATACAAATCGATCATAAAACAATGTATCAATTATTTGCCATCTAAACTATTAAATATTAGTACTTTATGAAATTATAAATGGTCATCGTGAAGTGTGACAACATCTTTTTCTCCTCACCATTGTTTGCTTTCTTTTTGTAGACTACAGCAGCGACTCCCAGGATGACCATTATGCCAACACCACCACCAACAACAGCAGGAATAGGGAATGCTGAAGGACCTGAATCCAAAACATTTACACTGTTTATCTCGCTGCTGGACCAATGAATTATCAGATTCTTCATTAACACTACTTTAGACATTTCATTATTTGAAGAAGATCACAGAAATCAAACAAATGTCAGAGATATTGAGTGTAATATAGGAATCCCTTGATTTTCAGCAGTAACATGATAAAAAAAAACTAACCCAGTGAAATGAGGTTTACAATACATTACAAAATATATTTTGAGGTTTGAGAAAGAAAATCATAAATAAGAAATAATAACAAACAAGCCAGTTTCCCTTCACCACACTTTTCATATTAACACTTTCATGGGGTCACTACAGTGAACAGCTATTCAAAGGCTGTTTTCTTGTATTTGTGTCAGTATTGATGGTAAACTTGCACATAAACCACTACACTGGACAGTGATGTGTCACTCCATAGGCAGGGTTATATTTGTTACATATATTCTTAAAGTGTTATAAAATATATTTAAAATATATATTACAATTTTTTGTTATGTTATAGTTTTTACACAGTGTATATTATTTATTTGTTTATCAAATTCATAAGTCAAAGCATATGTTGTCCACTGGACAAAACCCTCTTTGACAAGTAAATGTTTAAAAAAACGAAGTTCAAAAACTTTTTTTTCATGTCTACAAATAAATAAAAATAAGAAAAAAATCCTGATTGAGGTCATAATTCATGCATGAAATGGTTAAACACAACATACAGGTTAAAATATCAGCCTCAAATCTAAGCTGTACAGGTCTTAGGATCACTTTTTTATTATATATTATTTTGGTTTTTGTTTTAATAGGATGAACTTCCCAGCAGAGACAGTAGTGAAATTAAAAGATCATCTTTCTTTCAGCCTTGGAGCAGCAACTCAGAAAGTAATGATGAAAATGAGTCTGAGAAAGTCTGAAGAACATAACAGGGCCAAGCAGTAGTATTAGTGATGCAATTATATTTCAAAGTAACTTCACTACACTAACAACCAGTTTTCATCTCCTTGTTTTTCCTAACAAATTGGAGCTAATCAGAAAAATGATGGAACAACAAGGAACACCATCTTTAAAATAAAGTTTATTCTCCTCTGATACCAGTCTTACCTTCATTGGTCTTGATCTCTGATTTGTCCAGTCTGGTGACGATGTCCTCGTTCACACCAGAGAGCTGAAACACACATCTGTATCTGT